TTTTCATCTTTATCCCTTTTTTTAATGTATGCCATTGAAGACTGAACATTTATCAGTAGGATAAAACACAACATGGTGAAATAAATGAAATATTGAAAGAAATTATCGACCGGTGATAGGTAAAACACAGGGATTAGATTACATTTGCAGATGACAAGTGGATGAAACCGATTTAAAAACAGTTTCAAAGATGTGCTTGAACAGAAGGTAGTAAATGAGGAAATGATTGACGGGATATCAATTTGCAGATAAGATGGAATGATGTAGAAATATCTACCTAGTCGTCCTCTGTGAGAAATCAGACTGATGTCATGGGTAATTTTTGCTTGTCTGCATATGGAATGTATCAATATAAGGTGATATACTCTGGAAGTTTTACTATCAGTTCTTCTGTTCCATCTGGGTTTATATAGATGCCGGCAAGATTGGCTTGAATTCATCAGAAAATCTATACATGGAAGAAAAAGAAATATTCATAAAAGTAAAATCAGTACATGACACAATAAATAATGATTTATAATCACTACACTATGATCCATGTTTCGTCCTCAGAGGGACTCTTTAGGAAAAAAACTCAGTTCTAGTGGGAGAAATGATGATTAAATATACCATTTTTTCACCATAATTTCCATTTTATAGTCGTTTTTCACCAGAAGAGCCTCTAATAATGCAAGTTAGATGAAAAGTTAGAGAATTTATGCAAGATTAGAGATTCTTTAACTTTCTTGATAACTTCATCCTGAAATGGTAGTCTTCCTTGGTTTAATACATATGATAAACTAACCTGCCTGTCCGCAAATACTAAGTCTTTTGGTATTCTCAGCTCATCAGTTAGCTGCAGTTTGATCACAGTGAGTCAGTATTCTCAAGCCTTGAGCCAAAATAAAGGGGTTCATTCATCCAATTCAGTATACCGTCCATATGCGTAAGTTACAGGTAGAACCGTGATAGTCGGTTCCTGTTTGGATTTTTTGACTTGAGAAACACTCATTCTTCTGATTATAGAGTATAATTCCCATGTGCGTTTCATTTTAGACAACTCAGGGCCCATAGTAGCTTCACAAACCTACATGTATGTCCCCAGTTTTCATCAACTTAAGCCATTTATGGCATTGTCACGATATCCTGTTTCCTCTCAAAAGCCTAGTACACTGCGCTGAAGTTTCCTCTGTTCTAATACATGGCTCTGAAATATGATTATTAAACGTATATGACAGGGGAAGGCTTCAAGCGTTCGACTACCATTACCATCTCAGCATAGACTGTGTCATGATTTCCTCAGGTCATTAACATAGAAATCTGGCGTAGATGCTTAGGGAGAAAAAGAAAGTTAGTTGATGAGATTATGAACCTCCGTCGACTCAGACTGTTGAGACACGTGCTACGCATGACTAGTTGCTGTCTGCCTCTTCGTACAATGTTAGGTGAAGTAGGTTTAGACTGGGAAATGGTCGACGGTGGCCAGACTAAAATAGCATCATTTCATGAAGTCTCTGACTGTTGGTCTGAGCCATATAAGGAAGTGTAAACTTCTCGATTGGGGTCTGCTTGACAACAGGAACCTATGGTTAATAACTCTAAGTGATATGGTTCAGAATCAAACTCACTCGTGCAGACTTATCTTTGATTATCTTCGTCTGAATCATCATGCTCGACTTCAATATTATCTCATTCCTCCTTGAACGCGTTTTACTACTTTCTACCAATTTCGGATGCTATCTTCATTATTTCTTCATATTTCATCTCAATGCATTTTCGCTTGGTTTGCGGATATGAGGTGGGGCAGTCTGCACCGTTACGCAGTAATGCCAAGTCCGCTGGTAATATTCCCCACCTGTCTGTCTGTTGGTGTCGGTGTCGAACATATAATTACTGCTGTAGGTAAGTTAAATGCAATTCTGATCAACACAATGTGTATATCTTTAAGTAGGTAACCATGAGGCGATTGATTCGAATCCTTGTGTCATTGAAATTTTCTTTCAACATGAAGTATTATCATCATCAATGGCCAGTAGATGTATCTTTCATTCTTCATTCAATTGATGGGTTCGGAGGTTTTTATGACTCAGTAAGTAATAATTACTCAACCGTTATATAATGTCACTTACTTGATTTGTAAACCCATTTTAAATTCAATACCAAAATATAGTTCATTGCAGTTGAGCACAACTAAGCTTTTCGGCTACATTTTCTACTTGATCAACAGATTTCGGTTAGGGCTGAACGGCTAAGATGTGAACGTACATCGGAGATCAAATGGTGACTAATCCTTGTACATAATTCAGTCCTACAGGGGGTCAGTCATGGCCTGAGCATCTTATTGTTTAAGTCACTGAATATAGTATTCAGTGATGCAGATTCAGATCACCAGTGTCATTATTATTACAGGTGAGCCATGTTGATGAGTACAGGTGTGGACAAAACCAACTTGGAAACGGTCACAGGTTTACTGATTCAACCTCGCCTTCAATTTTATCAAAGTAAGAAGTATAACAGTGGTAATTATGAAGTGAAGTATTGGTAATTAATATCCAAAAGCTTCTTGCTTTTCAAGGACTGTCACTGCTGTTATCGATCAGTATTTAAGAGAACCTTTCCCTTCCTTTTTATCTCTTATACATCTATAACAATCAGCCATGTCTCCGTGGACACTGATACGTTTGCCACTGTAAGCATAAGCTTGATTAAGAATGCAGCCATGTTTTTGATATTATCACAATCACTAGGTCAACAACGGCATTGCTAGCACAGAAAGTATCCAAGTATTGGTTATATTAATTTTGACCCCTTCTTCAATGTATTCAGGAGATAGAAAGAAAGAAAAGTTTCAGAACAATGTCCACTCTGTTTTACTTCAATATGCTCTGGATAGTTATCATGACGATTATGTTGATGATGAGGAGGAGGAGGAGGATGACAATAAGGGTCGAAACAACACACCCACATATTGCATATTTAATCCCCCTTTTTTATTTGTTTATCCTACATTATGATTATTATTCCCTTTTGTTACAATTCAACCTGTAAGATGAACCATGAAGAGAAAGAAGAAGAAAAGGTGATTTGAATCAACACCTGAGGAACAAGACTAAGTCATCGAAAACCTACCCGTCTTTACAGTGAATTGGCATTGAGGCCATACAATAAAATGACTTTACCATTTTTTTCTTCCGATTGGAGAAGTCAGTGGTTTTATTGACAGAGAATCAAACTATAACTTGTTGTCGGTGTGTACTTCAGCGTGATGGATTAAAGAGTGGTTGGTGGTAACTTTCTGCTTCAAAGAATATAAGGGGATGCCGTGTGTGTGTGTGTGTGTGTGTGTGTGTGTGTGTGTGTGTGTGCAAGAGTATAAGCAGTATCATGTTGGTATACACCACTTAGTGTTGTTGGTTTATACAAGATTATGTAATTTACTGAACTATATTGAAGAGGTCAGAAACCAAGATGTAAATTAACTGCATGAAATAGCCAGACAAGAGGTGACTGATGTGTAGAGTGGTCAGTCAGCTGACAACCGTGCTTAATATCCTGTATTATATAAATCTTTAAATTAAACTATGTAAACTTAGATTTTTGCAGAAAGGTAGACAATTTAGAAGATTTTTGCACTAACCGTTAGCAAGACGTTGTCGATTAATACGGGACAAATCGATAGGTAACTGCTGACGAACAAGCTCCATTTGCGGAGGCTTCAACAGTGTTATTATTTTGATGGTTGTCAAACTGAACTCCTTTTCAGTATCATTCAGTTGTGATGTACTGATCTGTTACTGATAAGCAATCAATACATTGATTGGTCACTGGTGAACAACCGATTTCAGGTTGTCCAGTCCTAAGTGTTGAGCGAATCATACCGATCATTTTGTAATGTGATTTTCAGGCTATGAGACTCTGTATCACGGTGAACCTTGATTGGTGTTGGATGGTCGAAGATGACTGTTGGGAAGTCCTGTACCAAGGTTTCATATCTGTTGGCACTCGTCAGTAAGGCGCATCTGCAACCGCGAGAGAAATCGTTAAGCTGTACCAATGAAGTTCATGTTATGATCAATCGCTAAGTTAGGAGATTCACCATTAAGGTGAGCATTAAATCATATTAAGTAGTCTAAGATAATCTACAGGAAGTCAAACTTCACCAAGGTTTAGTATTTTTTGGTACTTGTCAGTATAGTTTACCTCCAACTTCAAGAGAAATTACACTTTCTGAACCGTTCAGTGACATCTCTAGCAACAGTACTAGGCACTGATGAGTATCAGTAGGCATGAAACCTTGATCCAGAGTTTCTTCCTTGATAGGGATTCGAATTTCCTGAAGAACAAACGTCTCCTCATGGTTGTAGAAATCCCTTGCCAACAAGTGCCATCAAACAGGAAATCAAGCCTCTAAATCCAGGAGAATTTCACCGCAGTACCATATCACACGGCTTAGAAACCGTACTTCAAACCTGGTTGACAAACTCTAATCTATACTTGGAGATTTTGTATGAGTGTTCTTCACCTTACGTGGAATAAGACTAAAATTCACGCGTTTTGTTCCGCTTGGGAATAGCCAGTCGAAAGTACTTGTACCCCAGTGAGTGATGTTGTTCCCACTGAGGATGGAACCCAGTACGCTTCGCTTCAAACGCCGGATCGTTACTCACTAAGCCACTGTGGTACGATAGCCATCTCTTGTGCAACGGGTATCACTTGATGAAATGATACAAGATGCGTGTCCTGGATTCCTCTGTTAGTCTTCAAGATCAATACAACATCACGAATATCTGACAGTATCGAGGCATCTGTTTAGGAGCCCATCTGCCAACAGTGGTCGAGCAATTCGGTCCTGTATAGCAGCGGGAGATTATAAATATCGTTACAAGGACTAAAACACCTTTTCTTCCATACAGCCAGATATATATCAGATGTACAGTCACACAATGTATAAAAACCTGATAAGTTTTAAAAACAAGAAGTTACCATAAATATTAAACTTGTAGCTCACAAGTAAAACTGAATCATCCTCTCAATAAAACATTTGCATCTCTAGCTCCGTTGGTAGATTCAAAATTTGAACTATTCCCCAATAAATTGGATTGACTGTTGAACAATATCTGATCACTATTGCATTGAGAATGTGATGCAGTGTTCAAGTTCCATGTCGATGGATTTCCACTACTGTTATTATCATCATGATCATCACCATTGTTGTTAGGCTGATGGATGAGCATTCTTGAAAATTCAGATTTTGAATCTTTTATTTGACTCGCTGAGATTCGTGAATGTATCTGTTTCTCATCAGCATTATTATTATTATTATTATTATTATTATTATTATTATTACTATCGTTACTAATGATTTGTCCAGACACATCAGTTAGAGAATGACTCATTTTAACATTACATTGATTTTTCCAGATTGGATTTAAATAATCCAGAGTAAATGACGTGGGTGTATTAGTCGGTAGGAATGGAAAGGAAGTGGTTAGATTATTTTGTGCATAAGATGACAATGATGATGAAGGCAATGTAATTGCAGTTAAATTTGAATCACGAAAGTTATCTGGCGTTAGATGAGGAAGGGGCACATCGATTGTAACTGGAACTGAAGGGAATGTTGTGGCTAGGCGTAAGTCATACTTTTTATTATTGTTTACAGTATGTTGGATCAGTGTTGATAATTCTTGTTGAGATATCCTAATGTCATCTGTCTCTCTATTTATCCAACCTTTTGGAGATCTACTAAACCTTGAATAGTAATCATTCAATGGATCTTGATATTCATCATTATACGCCGTCGAATTCCCAGTTGCTGTACAGGTTTTATGCAATAAAGGTATATGGGCTTCTCCGTTATCATCAAGATGACCTTTATTGAAGGGAGAACATCCTCTAACTGTTCTGTTCTGTTCTAAATCGGAATAAGAGATTGTTGGATCTAGTGTTTCATAAGGTTTATGATGTTGTTGAATTGAAATTGGCTGGTTAATCAAATGGTGAAAATGATAGTATCGCTTAGCATCGTCTTCGCCTAACCCATCCTCCTCCTCTTCGTCTACCTCATCGTCATCGTCGACACCACCCCCGCCAACATCCTCCTCTTCGTGTCTTTGTTGTATATCTTCTCGATAGTTCTGATTAATATAACAGTGTGTGTGTGCATGACAATGATGATGATGGTAATGATGATGTGAACATCGTCTTGGTGAACTACTGATACCTGGTGTCATAGCAACCATGGCAGCAGCTGCTGCAGCTGCTGCTGCCACAGCTGAAACTCTTTCAGGACAATAGAATGGTGTTTCATTAGGCAGTTGTGAATTGAAACATGAACCAAACTTATTACTCATAGGATTGTTACAGCCATTACTATTACTGTTGTTATTCATAGTAGTGTTAACAGTAGTATTATGATTGATCAAGTTATTCATCATAGGATTGTATACTTGAAATCGATTTGTTCTCGATAGATAAGATGATGAATTTCGAAAATCACCAACACATCCAACATAATCTGGACTATCATAATAATAATTCTTATTGTTATTATTATCAATATAAGCGAAGTCACCAATATTCTCATTAACTAAATCATTTTTAAACATTGTATTTTGATAATAGTCTTCTTCAACCGAGTTTAACTGAGAAAAATGTGTCGTCATTGAAGGATCAAATTCCGCGCCAACACCATTATTACTATTATTGTTATTATTATTATTATTATTATTATTATTGATTTTTTGACTCATATTTCCAATGACTGTATCACAATGTACATATTCGCTCAAATCTGTTGACATTAATTGATTTTGTGAAGGATTTATTGGTAATGTAAGGGGTGGTGACAGTAAAGATGCTGCAGAAATATTCAATGATGCAGTGGATGTTGGAAAAAGACTGGCAGGTTGAATCCACCAATCAGTTGAAAGATGATTTATATCACGATATGGTGGACAGTTTGAATTTTTAAATTGATTTGAAGACTTTAAAATCCAATTGGAATGCGTTTTTAAATGATTTACACTGGAAAAAGGAGTTGTTATTGTTGGAAGAGAATTATTGGAATGAATATCTGAACTGTTTTGTGAATGAAAAGAATCTATGGAATTTGGACGTGAGCTGGATGAGTGATTGACTTCGGGACGAGTTAGATTCATTGAAATACAGTTATTATTATTATTATTATTACGAGTATTGTCATGTAGCAGTTGAGTTAAGCATGTAGATGAATTTGGTGGCCGCAATACTTGATTATCATGTATCTGTTGACTGACAAAATTTTGTTCTAATTGTCTGTTCCCATTTGTATGACTAGGAATCATATCATTGTTTGTATGAATTGATTTGAGTATATACTCAGATCGATTGCTTGCCTCTGAGAAGCTTGGAGTTGTCTCTGTTGTTAGTTGTGGCGTATACGAAGAACAGATTGTACGATTCTCCTTACAGGCGTTTGTAAATGGTTTCATTTCATTATGACTTACCTAGAAATAAGATTAGAGAAAATACAATGAAAACTATGTGAAGATCCAAAACCTTTCATGAAATTACTGAGTGACTGTAAAGGCCACCTTAGCGAGTGCTGTAATGACTAATTAGGCTTCGGTATTTCGGCTGGGAAGTTGGTTTTTGATAAGATAAAGAAACGTAATTGATTACCTCAGCAGTTGTTAGGATGGTGTCTAAAATCACTTGAATTATTCAGTTTCATAGGAATTATTGAATACGAGGTTGTTTAATGACAGGTTTGCCTTCTTACTATGCTACTATGCTACATATCAAATGAAACCTGGAAACGATGAAAGCCCGATTTCTAATTGATAGCTGAGTGATAGTTTACTCATCACTAGTGAAGGCAATGATGAACGGGGGGTAGTTAGTGTTCAGCGATCATAAAATACAGTAGTAAATCAACCTAATTCTTATATTGATTCTATCTGCTGAAAACATCTTGAAAAACTTGTTGGGAAGGAATTCGGATCAAGCTAGATCTACTTGGGTTGTAAAACACGATAAATTAATTGTATTCCCTTCAGCCATATACAAGCTGATGAAAAGTCAATATTTTACAAGGTAGTGAAAATTGAGAAACTGTTTGTCGATCGAAGATAGAAAATTAATCGTTGAAAAAGCAAAATTAAGCCCTTAATCGTCTTGAGGAAGTTTCACTTCTGAAATACAAGCGGTTATGCAATATAGGGGAAAATAGTAACACAGTGTAATATGAAGCAAAAGACAAACTAAGTGGCAAACTCTGTCAGTATTCGCATCAGAACGAAAACGAAAGAAGTAAAAAAGGGATAAGAAGTCACGTTACATTATTTTTGTTATGAGTTTAATACTAATGATGCAAAGTTGCTAGCAATGGAATCCACTATGCACGTTTTGTCATATCTGGGACTTGTCAGCTGGATGTGCTTGCTTCCCAGTGAGTGTTGTTGTTCCCACTGGGAATTGAACCCAAGAGCAACCAATTTAAGTGCCAGAGTTACAACAACCACTAATTGTGCGACAGGTATATGCCGTGACTTAATGACTTAGTAGATAACTTTCTGGCACTTAAAGTGATTGGTCTTGGGTTCAATTCCCTGAGGGAACAACACCACTCACTGGGAGGTGGCTACATCCAACTAGGGAGTTCCAGACAGGATGAAATGCTGGCTTCTACCGATAGCCACAATCCGTCATTAGTAGCAAGATTGAAAATGCCAGCAATAAAAAGAGACATATTTTCAGGAACCCATATACTCATAGTGGGCAATCAGCTTGGTCCAACGAACGATAAAGATTCACATGCTATAGCAGCAGAAACTACGTCATTAATGTTGTTCAAGATTAACCACTGACTCTTTCTCAATACAAAGGATAGATTGTAACCTTCTAATTGCTATCGTTCCTTGAAATCCTGAGTAGTATACACTTTCAATATTTACTGATTATTTTTAATGTAGGCGTTGCGTACACTTCATAGTCTGAGCCGAGTCAATACCTTTCAGTCGAGTTAGTCAAAGTAATCGACTCGTTGAAACTGCTGCCGTTCTATTAACATACAGTATTAGACTGAAAATACTTAAAATTAAGTATTGTTCATGAAATTCTCAATTCTGAGATTGGTGTTTCAAAGATGTAAGTTAACCACATAATTTCTTGTGAAAGACTAAGTTTCCCTGTGAAATAGGTTAGTTTTGACACCACTTGTCTTAGAGTCGAAAGTTTACCAATACTAGTGTTCTACAAGTACCTCTGATCGATATTGACAACTCATGACCACTATGTCATGAAATCACTAACTAGGCAAAGTCACTGAGTAGTTTGTCACACAAGTTGAGTACATCACAAGGGAACATATCTCCCGCTTAATAGAAGGTGATATAAAATACTAAGTCATTTTCCTTACCATTTCTCGAAGTGTCTTCTCTGTATCCTTTCGCACATTGATCAATCGACACGGATCACATGGACAATTTCGAAATGGACAAGTTTTCTTATGTCCTTTCCATGTAACAGCTATTGAATGATTACGACATCGTCGACAGTGTGGACCAGATGTAACCGCCTGTTTCTCATCCATAAGTGCTACAGCTGATCTTAGAGTATTTGAATGTGATAATGGAATTAATGTTGAATTTATTTTATTATCAATCAAAGTATTATGCATCAGATTATTATTTAATAATCGATTAGTATTAGTATTAGTAGTATTTCGATTTGTGCTTAAATTTTTATTTATTCTTGTTTCATCAATTCTATTGACTTCCAAGCTTGTGTTAATAGGTGTTGTTGGGGATGCCAGTGAAGACGATGACCAATTGATACAGGAAGATGTTTGTTTACTTTTCATATCTGATTGGTCATGAGTATCCCGTTGGTGTGAATTACCTTTTTGATCACGATAGAGAGCTATTTGTTTAGCCACAACCTAAATCCAAATGGGGGAAACAACAAGAAAGAGGCATTGAAAAAAGCTGAAACCCCACATTTTATGTTAAAAAAGAAAGTTTTTCTGGAAAAAATGACCTTCAGTTCTATATTGATGTGTTCAGTAACTAGCTTATTTTCGTAGTCCAGTACCAAAGGACTTAAGCGGTGATTTCAGCACTGAGATATGCAACTCACAGTCCTCAAGAGTGAACAAGCTTCTTCGGATTAACAGATTTATTGCCTTGTAGATAAATGTGAAGTAAAAGAAAGCTGAAGGGGCGAGATGTGAACTGATTAGTCAATGGAAAGTGACTAGTATCAGTTGTCTACTTCTAAATATTGACCACTAAACTGTGACACTATACCATAGTGCACTGTGTTAAGTATTGAATGTTGACTTGACCCTTACTTCCATCGTCACTTCAGTTTTGTACTTGTTGGTATTCTTCAGCACGACTTATGTACATTCACTAGGAGACTTTTGTTCCCTCAGATATTGAAAACCAACTCAAGCAGTTCTCCTTTCAGAAGTATTATCACTGAACTGAGAGGACATCGTATCCTCTGTCTGTGTTCAGACGACAGACACGCCTATAAAAGATTATTATAATAGAAAAGGCAGTTTTGATAGGTATGCTGGTAAGTGGAATATATGGAACAAATCACTGAAATTTATTTTGAGGGTCGCAAGTTACCCCTCAACAGATGATGTGAAGAGCAAAGAAGAGTGAAATTTGAAACGATGATTTGTGCAAAAAGAACCACTGCAGTTTCGTTATCTTAAACTGTAACCAATTGCCGATCACGATTAGAGCTTGAACTTGTCAGATTTTTACTTTTGATATGAATTAACTTGTTTGTATTGACATTCCACCCCTTGACTAAACTGTCATTGATTATACGTTAGTAAGCTATGTCTCTAGGTCATATCTATATCGAGCTACCTCTAGAAATAACAGAACTAAGAAAATGTATACCGCTGAGTTCCCAGCCAGTAGTAACGTGTTCGCCACGAAACCTAACGGTCCACAGTTCTATCCTAGACTCTTTAGCGGGTGAGTACTGTTGAGGAGTACCACACTTGCACGAAACAGTCACGCAAAGTTCAGAGGCTTTTTCAGTGCTTCTGCAACTGATTTGGCCCGTGATAAATACCACCCGGAAATCAATCAAATCCCCATATACCCTTTGAGTAAAACTCTATCAGTTATATTGATTTGTACTCCCTTCAATTTCCTATGACAACGTCAAAATGGATGTCGGTACATTCACCTGATGATAGAGAAAATGATTTTTCTGTCAAAAAGCCTACTACATAACAAATCGTATTTCATTATAGTTGCAATATTTTGCTTCATAATCTCTTGTCAATATTAGTGATGGTTAGTGATTAGCAGTGGAGTCCAGAAAGTACATTTCATCTTACTTGGGACTCGTCAGGTGAACGTACCCACCTCCTAGTGAGTGATGTTGTTCACACTGAAGCTTGAACTCAGAACCAATCACTCGAAACACCAGAGAGTTATCCACTAATCTACTGAGTTACAACAGTAGCTACTTGTGCGACTGGCCTAGTGCAGTTTTTATGTTATAGCTTGTAAGTCTTCATCTTTGATTGGACCTAAACTGATAACCCAGACAATACCGGGGTATCTGCACTGAAACCCACACGTTAAGAGTGGCCTATCAGTTAGGTCCAATCAACAACGGAAATTCACAGGCTATAGCATTAAAACTATGCGATACCTGTTGCACAAGTAGTGACTATGGTGACCAGTGGTCTAGTGGACAAAACTCTGGCATTTGGAGCGACCACCCCTGGATTCGAGTCCCGACGAGAACAACATCGTCGACTGAGAGGCAGGTAAATCGGACTGGCGAGCGTCAGGTAAGATGAAATGCGCTTTCTGGATTACACTGCTAGCCATGATCCGGCAATACAGAGACAAACTCAGGAGCCAATATTCTAACAGTGGCCGTTTAATTCGGTCCAATCAGCCGCGGAAACTTGAAAACTATAACATAAAGACACAATTTCCAAGTTAGCATTTTGTCGTGAACTGATATCAGTTGGAGGAACGTTGAAAACTTGGGAGCACCGGACAGCTGTTTCGTTCTAGTATGAGACACCTCAGCAGTACACATCGACGACCCCACCAGAGGTCAAACCCACAACCTTCAGGTTCCGTGGTCAACATGTTACCACTGAGCCACTGGATCAGAATCCAATGGCCCATATTTCCAACTTCTGTCAGTTCACAACATAGCGTGACCGCCACCCAATTTCATCGTTGAGTATTTGTCCTCAAGGCCATCAGGTTTTCCCCACTGGTCACGACTTCTCAATCTAACTTCACCTCTCCAAGCTAATCACTACAAACCCGCAAATTCAGCTGAACTAGTGCCCATTGGTGATTAGCTTGGAGAGGTGAAGTTAGATTGAGAAGTCGTGACCAGTGGGGAAAACCTGGTGGCCTTGAGGACAAATACTCAACGATGAAATTGGGTGGCGGTCACGCTATGTTGTGAACTGACAGAAGTTGGAAATATGGGCCATTGGATTCTGATCCAGTGGCTCAGTGGTAACATGTTGACCACGGAACCTGAAGGTTGTGGGTTTGACCTCTGGTGGGGTCGTCGATGTGTACTGCTGAGGTGTCTCATACTAGAACGAAACAGCTGTCCGGTGCTCCCAAGTTTTCAACGTTCCTCCAATTGGTATCAGTTCATGATGACTGCCAAATTGAAAAATCTCTAAATTCCCCCGAATTCAATAAAGACATGTTGAATTTATCGAACTATTTCATTACCATTAATAACCCATTTATCAGTAATCAGATTAGTTTAAATCATTACATTGACTATGTGATGAAAACCATAAGGAATACTAAAACTGTCCGTTGTTGTTTACTATCCTTGAGGTTATTAAATTAATTGGTTAGTTTCTGCCATCCTCTGTCTTAGTTATTAGCAGTGGTGTCTAGAAAAGGGGGACAACTCGGTGTTAATTGACGGTCGTATAATAATCGCTTAGATCTTCGTCCATAACACTTAAGTTCCTCTGTTGATCGCTGACAAGAAATGAAAACCATTTTCGGTAGAAGTCATGGTAATACCACAAAAAGATCCAGTTATTTCGCTTTTGGATAGTGAATAGTAGGACATTATTGTATTAAAACACAACTATAAATAACTCACCTTTCTCCCTTGATCGACAAGATGACATTTAATGCATGTACAATTAGTATAAGGACATGTACGTTTATGTCGTTTCACAGGTATATTATGTCCGTGTGTCTTACATTTTCGACACATATATGATGCTCGGGAACATATCGATGCAGTTCGATAATGATGAAGATGATGGTGATGATGATGATGATGTGGACGATGTTGTCCTACAGTTGACCGTAATCCACTCCCACATGATTGACTTCCTATAGAACGATTACTTGTAACATTTGTTGGTGTGCTTGGTACAGATGTCTTTGATGTATGATGACGTGTGACAGTAGACGAAGAGGAAGGTTGAGATGTACGTGTTACAGTGTTTAAAAGACTAGTTTTTAAGTTGTTACGAGTTAAACTCAACCTTGGAGCATTTAATAAATCAATTGTATTTTTGTTCAAGTTCATATTGACAACTGAAGCTGATGTCATCACAGTTGATGATGAAGATTCAGATGATGGCAATAATACATCCATTGGGGATACCGAATAGTTCTGTTCTCGTACAGATTCACTTTGTAGTAAGGAGTTGGGAAACTCTGTATTCTCACCATTTGTATTATGATGATGACTATGATGATGAGAAAGATGATGGTGATGGCTAAATTGACTAGTTAAGTTTAAATTATTCAAAGAATTCTGGAAGTTTTTTGATAGTATATCATTTGTCATAATTGTATTTGACACTGACACTAGTTTCCCATCTGATATTGAAAACACTGAATTTGTTTTATCGTCTGTTGTCATAGTAACCATTGTAGAGCACGGATAACCGCCTAAATCGAAATCTTGATAATTCGAATAATTGATGCTGTCATTATTGTCAAGACTACGACTAATGGATGATACTGATGAAGGTTGTAGGTGGGAATTATCTTCAATAGGTTCTTGTTTGAATACAATAGGAGAGATTTCGGAATTTTTCATGTTGTCTTTTTAGTCTGTAAAGAAACAGAAGAAAAATGTATACCATATAAAAAAGTTAACAATGTACATTAATTTCATGTTTACTTTTACCATCTTTTACCAGCTAGGTAACCATTAGAAACTAGGGCAGCTTACTCAGTATTCATCGACCTTGGAGGATCTAGACCGTAGACCATATCATCAGCAGCAGTAGCATGGCCACCACTGTACCGACGCTACCTGTGCTCATTTGATAGATGAATATTTCTCTTCCGAAATCAGCGATATACCACAATTATTAATGTACCATTTGTTCCGTGCAACCGACAGTAGGGTAGTCATTGCATCCAGTTATTTTCTTATAACCGACGAACATAAAAAATTTTGAATAGAAACTTCACATGAGCCTTTGACATTTCGGAAACCTCAGACAACGCATGAAGATTCCTACTGAAAAAATTTTGTTTTTTCGATGAAGACGTTGCGTATTGCCAACTTCGCCTTACAGTTTTTCCATTCACTTTACTCGTAAAATCATAAAACTTAGCAGTCGGATCGGTAGCTGCTTCGTCCTAACTTTTGACTCTCTGACAGAACTTGATGACTCCGCTAAATGCTCTGTAAGCTGTAAGTCATCGTGAACTGATAAAAATCAGAAGTTAAATAACGTGAATTGTGAGATTTACTCATACTTGTGATTTTCAGTTGTTCTTTTGGGTAGAATTGTTAGACCTCTGTTGATTTATGGGCTATTACGTGGATGCCTCAATATTGTCTGAATCTTCATTATATTGTAATCTATTTGCTGGCTAACAGTGGAATCTGTGGTACGCGTTTCGTCCTATTTGGGACCTGTCAGATGGATGTACCTAGTAAGTAATTTTCTCCCCACTGTGAGTTGAACCCATTGCTCATCGTTTCGAACCCCAAAGCTTCATCCGCTTGGCCAGTCAAGCAACAACTGATACCTGTTGCACTAGAAGTGGCTTTCGTACTTCGGTGGCTTAATGAATGACTCTTTGGCATTCGAAAAGATAGGTACTGGGTTAGAGTCCCTGTGGGGAAAACACCACTCACTGGAGTCCAGGTATATCCAGCTGATGAATCCCGGATAGGACGAAACGCCCATCTTAGATTCCACTTACAGCCGCCAAGCAGACAACAATGTAATGAGTAATCGGGAAGTATTGAGGTGTCCACAGAGTAGTCCATCTGCTAACGGGGGTCAAGCAGTTCGACCCAGTATAGCTACGGGAAAGTACACGTATCAAGCAAACAACATCTGGACAACTTAGTAAATTAGTATCATTCTATAGCAGACTAAACCATGATACTGGTCAATATTAAGTGACCCACTTGTGTTTCCTTTACCGAATCACTGTTGGGAGAGGGAGGCATAGGATGCAAGAATACAGACAATTTGATTACCTTCCTCATACCCTCATTGCAACTGTTGAGCGCTGGAATAAGTTCCTGAGGATTGACTAGCTTCAAGGTAGTATTTTTCACTAACTGACATTAGTTGGAGCAACTGGGAGCACTGAACAACTGTAAGAAAATGTAAACTATTGATTTTCAACACAGTGGCTGAACATAAATAGCTCAAGACGAGAAATAAAGGTCGTAGGTTTGATGCTTGACACAGTCGTGAGTGCATACTACTTAAGAATCCCATACTCTGGAGAAACAACTGTCACATGCTCCCGGGGTTTCAATTTTTTTCCAAATGATGTCAGTTCATGGTGTTTACTGTCTTGAAGTATCCAAAATAATCATTTTTAATTAAATCCTGCTATTTTTAATCTCACATCAATATACACTTCAACTTTTTTCATGGATTTTCCAAAGCTGTCATGACTGGTAGGGCTAATGAAGCTATCAGTGTGAATCTACACTCACCGACGATAACGGATGACCCATCACGGTATCCCACGAATCGACCGACACCATAAAGTGGTCAGTTCAATAGACTGAGGTAGTAATACTGAAGGAGAAGGAAGCAACTGCTCTCCCCCTCTTAGCTTTCATTGGTTCTACAGTTGAGCAGTGGCTGACCTAAGAATAGTTACATCAAACTGAGTAATCGTCGATAGTGGTAATTATTGTTATATTGAAGCATCAGTCTCCAAATACAACAAGTCGATTGACTTGGAGAATACCAATCTCGAAGTTAGTTATATGCCTGTCTATTTGACTAGGATTCTTAATGGTAACCGGACACTAACGACTTGATGGCTGTATCGAGTCCTAGAAGGTGCAAGTCATAGCTTGTATAACCTAGCCTTCAGACCACTGACTTCAGCTGTGACATAAGTTTGGATCATCCAGCGAACATCAGACTTTACAAGACCATGGATCTACCTTTCTGATGACTGCCAAGAGGTCGAGCAGTATTTCCTTACATCTAACATTATAGTACCGCTTCACTTAGCTTTGATAAACTTGATCGATGAACTTCGGTTATTGTTTAACCATTAGGAGTTTGTATTGATTTATTGATCACTGAAAGAAACCAATTTCATATCTGACGAAAAATCCTTTTATATTCTAAACTAGAGACGAAAACAAAAGGCGGTGAAGATCCTTAAAAAAAACAATTCCTATGTCAATGTATAACTTATTTTCATGGTCCCAACCCCCCTCACCACCACCACTTCCACCCGCTCGAAAATTGAAAGAAACTAAAACAATTTTCAACTTTCTCGGTCGACTTTTAGCATCCGACCTACCAGCAAGTACAAAGTTAATCAATCTGATAATCATTCTGCATAGTGTAGTACACCACCAACATTCTCCTGTTGAGAATTGTTTCAAGTGGAGTTTTACGGTGAATGGATGATTCACTTTTATGTATAACAACATCGTTTATTTACAGTGTAATAATTATCGTAATAACAACATTGATAACTTTAATGACAATTAATTTTTTTAATCAAAATTTTGTCGACAGATAAAAATGCAGAATAATTTAATTGTTATTTTCATCGATCGGTTAGTCCGCAGGGGGTGGGAGGAAGATGGATAGGATAGACTTTCTCTGTTTATTCAGCCGGTTGAAACCTCCCCCCTCTGCTTCTGCACACACCAATGCGCTTCCACCCACTACATTTCCTCCGCCCAGATTTTTATGACTTTGAAATCATTATGAAATTTTATTCTTTTTCCGTCTGTTTATTTTACGGTTTCTGTGTCTATTGCAGGGGAAATGAAAACCAGGTTTTTATCCATTGTGGAAAAAACGTGAAAGAAAATGTGCTTTGTTTGATGGAATTCTTAAGCAAGTAATGTGATATACTAAGACAAGGTGATCACATTGACAACAAGGACACGGGGGAGGAGGAGACATCGGTGTGCATGGTTAAATTTTATGTTTTCTCTCTCTCTCTGAAGACACTGCAACTTGTTTCATGCTCTGAAGAAGAACCTTTGATAAAGGAGGACAAATAGGGATAACAGAGAAACTGAACTGCGCATATCATCTGAGCCTGGGATGAGGAATTGAGTGGACCAATTGGGACTCAAAATCAGTGGATGGTCTGTAAGTTATTCATAAATTACACCGTCCACATTGACATTGACTCATGAGTAGTTTTTCAGTTGCTGGGATGTTGTAACAGTAGAATTCCTACTGGAAACTAACCAGACAACCTCACACACCGGACATCGGTTAATACTCGTCTGGGACCGATCCCATTAGTTGCGAACCTGGAGGAATTCAGCTCACAAAATAGTGAAGTTGTACACACATTGGTCACTGCAGAGTAACCTGTTTCCTCTTGTTTAGTCCTCAGTGCTGAGAGAACTCTACCGATCATTTGCAGTATCGTTACCAAGCTGTATGAATCAGGTAGTAAATCGTAGCTCAGGTGGTTTAATTACAAGGTGTCTGATTGCAATACACGGTGACATGGGTTCAAACCAATCCGGAAACACCAGTTCCCTTGTTAATACGCATACACCTGGCTAATGAGTGTAAAGAAGAACCAGTTCTATGTCTAGGGTTTCCTATTGATCGACTCCAACCAACTGACAGAACCAGAGCTCTCGCGTCAGACAGATCTGGTTATCTAATCTGGGTCAAGCGGTGTTAGTAGTAGATTCATTTGGTCTACTCCACTTTTGTCTTGGAGATGACAATTTATGATTAACATAAGAACGTACTTTGGACACTGTGACTGAAGCGTTGTCAGATATATTATTATTGTTGCTTATTGCATAACGCCCCAGGCGCAATTTACTATCCTCAATCTTCTTGAGATGATTCCACAAAACCCTACAAACTTTTCCTGTATATAAGGAACAGCTACTGTGTATCACACCGAGTATATTGACCGTTCATTCGCTGAGCAAAGATCCGAATATCCCCTACCTCCTTTAGTTAAGCTGATTTCAAGGATAGTGACTTTAAAATGATGAATGGGTCCTAACGTAATAGTGTTTTATGGTGTGATATATATTACAAGAAAACTGACGAGAAATTACAAAAACTTTAGGTTTACAGGGATTCAAATCACCAGCTTCCGAGTTACGAACTCAGTGTCCAGCCGAGTACTTAGCAGATTTTAGTCTCACTTCGATTTGAAACAAGCCTAACAGCTGGTTCTCATAGCTCAGTCGATTTGTAGCCCAAAGGCTAATCAGCAATAGGGAATATTTGATCCCGACTACCTGGTATGCAACATTTAGGCAGTTGAAAAGTTTCACTGTCACATATCGACAAGTGTTGTGTGGTTCATAAGTGATTCGCAAAAACGATCTGCCTTTATGTTGCTGCATGTATTACCTCTCACACAAAAAGTGGCTGTTGTGACTCGATGGCCTGGCAGATAACACTCTGATGTTTGAGGCTTTCGGCCCCGTGTTCGAGTCTAAGTGAGAAAGACATCGCCCACTGGGAACAGGTACATCCAACTGACGAGTCCTAAACAGGATAAAACGCGCCTACTGGATTCCACTGCTGACCATTATACATTATTCCCATAAAATTCGCCTTTACTTACGATTGTACATATACACACTTA